GATCACAGACTTCTTGGCCAACTTGAGGCCTGCCTTAGCTAGCTCCTGGCCCGCCTTCACGGAGGGGAGATAAGGGTGATGGAGGAAAAGGGAAGGAGGGGAGGAGGAGGAGGAGGAGGAGGAGCAGGAGGAGGAGGAGGAGGAGGAGGAGGGATGTGTGGAAGGAGGGAGGGCGGGGGGGGTTAGAGAGGGAGGGGGGGGGAGGGAGGACGGGGGGTCGGTCGGACTCGGCATTGCAGCAGCCTGGGCGCCGCGTTGCTCAAGGCTCTCGCTCCGAGAGCCAATGCGGGTACACCAGTAGCTACCGCCACCCTCCCCTGTCAAGGGAGGCCATGCCCTGAGCCCCAGGCTGCCCAACTCGCAGAAGAGGGAGCGCGGCGGACGGTGCGAAGCACTAATCTAAAAGCCCATACAAGCGAAACGCAGAAACGCTTCAAAGCAATGCCCTGGCACTGCTTTGAACGTTTTGAAGCAGTGCCGCGGCACTGCTCACATGGGGGGGATGGCACACGCAACATCGGGGGCAGCAGCAGCAGGATGATTTTTCCACCTTGCACTGTCCGCAACTGCGGCTATCAGCACCATGCTGCACTTGTCCGCAGCGGCGGCTATCACCACCGTTGCGACTCGAAACCCCATGGGGCGCGGTCGGCCGACGGCCCCCAGGAGTCCGCGCTTCGCGTGGAGTCCCACTGGCTTCCGTGTCGCCCCCCCACGCGCGAGAACGCTCAAAAGGCGAGTCCTCAGTGGCACTGTCCGGAACTGCTGCGCGGTCAGAATGCCACCGCTGCCACCCATCAGCACCCCATCCCGTCGAGTGCCAGTCCCACTCGGACCAATCGCGCCATCCCGTCGCGGGACCGTGCGCCTCCGGTGCGCCGCTGCCGTTGGCGCTTCAGGACCGAGCAGCCACTGCGGCATAAGAAGTGGTCGCATCGTCGCTGTTGGCAGACTGCGGCAGCTGCGGGTTCCAAGTTCGCTCAGCCAGAGCGTCTCTCCCCGCAACTTCGGCTCACATGTGGCTCTGGGCGCCCTTCCCTGCAACTGCGGTGTCCGTGTCGCCGCCCTTCCTGGGGCTTCTCTTGCCCACCTTTGCTTTCGCCAGCTGCTCCTGTTTCTCCAACCTCTGGGCGAGAGTTTTTCAGGTGACCTGCGGCACGTGTTGTGCGTGAAAGCCACCAGGGGGGAATGCGCTCCGTTCCGCGCTTTGCCGACGGCGCCGTGTCAGATCTTGTCGTCGAGCTTGCCGTGCCTGACTCTCAAGGGATGGCGCGTCCACTCGTCGCGCGCCCTGTGCGCCATCTTTCTGGCGAGGTTCGTATCTGCGGCCACGGAGTCGTCAGATGGCGTCAGGAAGGCGCGCATCTTGTCTGCGACGGGCTCAGCCTTGAGCGCGCAAGTCCGGAGCATCTTCCCAGGACCATTCGTGCAGTCGAAGACTCGGAAAGATGGGTCATGTTGGATGGTCAAGAACCCGCCTTCGCGGTCATGCAGGGCGTCCAGGCCGTGGTGAAGGTTGCATTCCCAAGGACAGCTTATGAACATAATCGCCGTGCTGTCTGCCCTGGGCTGGCCGCCTGCTGTCTTCCAGGCGGTCCATGCGGCGACGTCCACAGCGATTCCGCAACTGCGGCACCAGGACACAAGCTGGAGCATGCAAGTGTTGAAGTCCCCCATGCAGACCTTCACGTCCCACTCCGCGACGTAGGATACGAACCGGTTGTAGAACTCATGGAGTTTCTTCACGCCCCAGTCTTAGTTGGTCGAGCTGTGGTGGACGTGCACCGCCATGACGCTGAAGGAGCTCTCCAGATGGGGCGCGCCCTGGTCCAGTTGGATGCGCACCACCATCGCCCTGGAGCACTTGTTGTGCCACTTTGGTGCAGGACCCTTCGCAACTGCGGATTTGTTATTATTTTTCTTCGTCTTGGATTTCTCCCGCTTGTGGAAGGGCCTCGTAAAGTCGACCTGATCAACGTGGCCCCCACTGCGGTCTCTGATGCCAACAAGGAGGGCTCCTGAGGGCTCACCGCCCTTGACGCACATGTAGTTGTAACGGGTCCGATTCTGAAACTTCTCGTCCTCGTCCGCAACTGCGGATGCGCTGTCACGCGCGTTGCGCTCCCCAGAGAGTTCCTCGCAGGTCGCGTCGTCGCACTCGCACAGGACGATGAGTTGGGCAGGGTCCGCGTGGATCTGCGCCCACTCGTCAGTGCGTTGCCTAGGGCTAGCTGCCGTCGGTCCGAACTTGGCCACGTAGAAGGTAGAAGCCGACCCGTCCCGCTTCGGACTCCGCTTTCTGCTTCCATGCGTTGACAAGGATTCTCTGCTTCTCCGACATACGGCTTGTCTGGATGACGGGCGCCCGCCTCCAGGGGCGCGTATTCGACAATTCTTTCGGCCTGTCGGAGTTTTGTGCTGCCGCAGCTGCGGCTGCCGCACCTACCTGTAGCTCCGCCCCGTCCTCCGCCTCGTCGGCGGGGGTAGCCGCGGGGGGGAGGAGCGCGGGGCCCCGACGCCCAGAGCGCTGAAGAGAAGGGTCGGAGAAGAGAGCTCGGCGCGGGCACGAGCTCTCGGAGGTCCGCGCGGATCTCGTGGTTTTGCGCTGAACCCCTGTGCATGGCTCGCTCCGTGCGCCAGGGGCGGCGCCAGCGGCACCGCCAGGGGCAGCCCGGCGCCGAACACTGAAATCCGCGCTGACCCTTCGAAAGCTCATGTTAAAGGAACTTGTCCGTTTTACTATCAGACCCGGCGTTAAAGGAAGGATTTTTTTCGCCAGGGCACCTTGCATCCTTCGGTTATGGCCATCCTTGGGGCGTTTTCGCCTTCCCAGCCCAAGGCGTCCATTGCATCCTTGGGTTAGTTCAGGGTCGGCGCGCTTCTCTTCATTCCGGCGCGTTCCAGGTGTCATGCATCCTTAAGTTCCATCTTTACGATTGGTTTTGATTGTAGGGGAGGGAGGGCGGGCGCGCGCGATGGAATGGGCAGGTGCCCTTATCGAGTCAGCAATAGAGCCAGGTCATGCAGCGGTGACAGGGGAGGTAGCGAGGGAGGGAGGAGCTCACGCCCCCCCCCACCGTGCCAGCCGAGCTCGGCCAGCTCGCTCTGGACGCCGTTGCTGCAGCCGACGGCGAGGAGACTGGGGATCGGCAGCACGGACCTTCCTCCTTTTTTCTCGGGCATTGCTAACGGGGTCCTTTTCCACCCCCTCCCCACTCGTGCCCCTCCTCCCCCCCTCCCTCCCCCCGCCTCCCTCCTCCTCCTCTTTCTGCTCCTCCTCCTGCCCCCTTCTCCTCCTCCTCCTCCTCTTCCTCCTCATGATTCTTGTTTACTGATGGCATGGGCGTGCCCCGCACGCTCCCGCTTACCCCAGGGCTGGCCAAAAGCCAGCCTTGGGGGAGTATGAGGAGATAGTAGAACAACAGGCTAAAGTAGACAGACAGGCAGGAGGAGGAAGGAATGATAGGGCATCACATCGATCATAATCACAGGAGGAACGGAAGAGGACTGGGATGCTGGCGGTTAAGGTGTAGTGGCGTTGCAGAAAAACAAGTGTGGGGCCATGGCCCTAGTGCCTTTTAGTTTTGAGGCTCAGCGGGGTCCCCCAGAGTCGCCTGGCCGCGCTGGGCCAGCGCTCCAGAGGGAGCCCAGGGTCCCCCTCGTCTGAAGGTCTTGGAGCCATCTTGGACAATATTGAGGCCAAAGTTGCCCGTCTTCGAACGATCTTTGGCCGTATTGGAGGCATCCGGGCGTCTGGAGCGCGAATACGGTTTCAGTCTGCGAGGGATTGTGTTGAGTTCACTCCTGCAGCGAGCTCGCTCCTGCAGCGAGTTCGCTCCTGCAGCGAGCTGCCGATGGCATGAAGGGCCTGGCAAATGGCAAAGCTGAAGGTCAGTAGGAAACATGGTCGGTGTCAGGACTGGTCCGACTAGACACCGCCGCCGTCGGAGAAGGACCACCTCAGCGCATTTCGCTTGAGCCCATTGGTGTTGGACGCATCTTGGGCAAAGCTACCGATATATTCATAACTGCGGAGCCGAGCACATTTTCTGCAGCAGGCATGGGCAAAGCTACCAGACCGCAGCATCTAACCACACCGTCTTCATCTTCATCTTCACCCTCACCTACTCCCCCGGTATTTTCTGCGCCATTTTCTTGCCAGCCAATTCGGGGCATTCCGGCCTGTCAGTCTACCTCGGCGCTGGCACCTCCTTCCCCAAGCCTCTCCTCGGGTAGACTACGGTTTTCCTGCAGACCTTGCTGCCTTGGCCGCATGGGTACGTGGAACAGCGAAGGTTTACGCGGTGACTCCATCATCAAAACTGACGAAATCATCGGCGTCATGCACACTAACGAACTTGATATCTGGTGTAAACAAGAGACGCACCTACATGGACCATAATACATACTATACGCGAAATGGCTACACGAGTTTCTTTTCAGGCGAGCTGGACATGGATGCCAACTCACACGCAGGAGTAGGGCTCATGGAGGCGCCAAGAGTTTTTAACAGCACTGTTGCATTCAAGGCGTGCAACTCTAGAATGGCCTCCCTCAGAAGCAAAGTTAGACGTGGTATGCTAACGTTGCTGTGCGCATACGCCCCACAACGGGCGCCCATATGAGGAGCGGCACTCTTTCTACATTGATCTTCCGGCGCATACCAGGGCAACCACTGCGAACAGCACGACTTGTATCACAGGAGACATGAATGTACGGCTCTTGTTGGTTGGAGCCGGAGAGCAAGATATCATCGGCCCCCATGTGTTTCAGTGCCCAGTTGTTGCGGATAATACGGTTCAGAATAGTATTTCTGGTTGCAAACACATACCACGGTAATCCATTAAGCATGAAGATTTCTTATAAGGATCTGGGCGTCGACCCGTCAGACAGGGTCGTTTCGGGGCACAAGTTCGCTCCGATAGACCACGTGCTCTGCCACCGCCGTGTTCTACATACTTCGCACGATACTTGGACGAGCAAGCGGGACGCGCTTAACGCGAATCATTATCTCACCACTGTTGTTTCCAAATTGGCTCAACCTCAACGATACTTCACACAAGCAATACATGGACAAGGCCAGCCTCAAATATCCGTGCGTACAAAGGCAGGCGATTTGCATCAACATTCGTGGAGGCCGTTGGCAATCCGATGCGTGCCGGGATGGATTCCGCTGAGGTTTTGAATTGCAAGATCCGACATGGTTTTGAAGCAATTTCTGAAATTCTAGACGCTTCGCGTAACCCCACCAGCCCATCCAGAAACGATGCCCAGAGGAAGTGCCTCGATCAGGGAAGTGGGCAGCACACAAAGGAAGGGTACCCCAGTGGAGGCCGGCTGGAGCGTCTTAGGGGCCTTTTGGCGGTCCCGGACGCCTCTTAGAGCGTCAGGGGTGCTTTGGAGAGCTTCTTGGGGCCTCTTGGGGGTCTCTTGGGGGCCTCTTGGAGGCCTCTGGGGCGCTTGTTGGGGCCTCCTGGGGCCTCATGGGCGCCTCGTGGGGCCCTCTTGAAGCGCTCTTGGGAGCCTTCAGAGCGCTCCTTGAGCCCTCTTGGGCTATCTTGGAGTCATCTTGAAGCCTCGGATGGCCATCGGATGCGAAAAGGCGAGAAAGCCCAAAATGCTGATTTTCCGAAGGTTTTGGAAGGATGTTGGCCTCTTCGGGGCCTCCTGGGGGAGCTCTTTGGCCACTTGGAGCCGTCCTGAAGCGGTCTTGGGGCCTCTTGGAGCATCGTGGGAGCCATCTTGAGGCATCTTGGGATATCTTAGGCCATCTTGGAGGTCATCTTGGGCTCTCCCAGGCGCTCTTGGAGTCATGTGAAGCAGCGCCACCCCCCCAGGAGGCCCAAATGTGGCCAAAACCTTAGTAAAATCAATGATTTGGGCATTCTCGCCGAGGCCTCTTGGAGCGTCTTGGGTGCCCTTGGGGGGTCTCTTGGGGCCTCGTGGGGGTCTCTTGGGAGCCTCTTGGGGGCATCCTGGGGGCCTCGTGGGAGCTTCTTGGGGCCACATGGGTCGTTTGGGGCGCTCTTGAAGCGCTCTTGGAGGCCTCAGAGGCGCTGGTAGAGCCCATATTGGAGGGGATCTGTCAAAGAAAGCGGAAGCACTAATTAGCGTCGCTCCTGGAAAGCCTTTAAAATCGCCTCCTGAACCGCTTTTGGAGGGCTCTTGGAGCGCTCTTGGGCGCTCTTTGCGCCGTCTTCGGGCTTTCTTGGGCCCTTCTTGGAGCTATCTTGAGCCATCTTGGAGCTATCTTGACGCCTCGGGTGGGCATCGGAAGCGAAAGCGCGAGAACGCCAAAAACATTGATTTTCCCAAGGGTTTTGAAACATTTTGGCTTCTTGGGGGCATCCGAAGGGAGCTCTAGTGGACACTTAGAGCCGTCTTGGGGCGGTCTTGGAGCGTCTTGCAGCATCTTCGGAACCATCTTGAGGCATCTTGCGCTACCTTGAACCATCTTGGAGGCGATCTTGGGCTCCCTGAGGCCCTCTTGGAGTCGTCTTGGCTCATCTTGGACGCTCCAACGCGTCGCGGCCCCCCCTGTCCAGGTCAGTGGGGAGGGGGTAGGGGGAGGGGTAAACCCCTCCCCGAAGGGGAAGAAGGAGGGGTAGAAGAAGAAACGCTCTAAACCACCGACGCCCGGAGGGCTGGTGGGACTTTTGCCCACACGGGAATTTACTCCTTAGCCGGCGTGGACCAGTCGACGCACGTTCGGTTTAACTGAACACAGAAAAGCCGCTCGTACAGCTGGGGACCACGACGCAGAGAAACGTTCGCACACATCGATTCGTAAATCTGGAGCGCAAGATCGACGAGATTGGTTGGATGTATTATTGCAAAATGGTGGTTGGGAAGGGGCTCGCTATTTGAAGAAGCCGAACACAGCATGCGACGGTCACGCGGCCTGATGGATCATTCGCGGACGCGGCCAATCGGCCAGATGTATTGGCATATTATTTTGAAGACGTCCAGTGGCAAGTCCGGCTTCCAGAGCTAACCCCAGAAGCGCGTGCGCCCATTGGACAGACATTGCCGATCGACGCAGCAACAATCACCATGAAGGAGTTGATTGATGCGCTGCACCGTAAAGCTGCTGGGCCAGACGGTATCCCCCCAGAGTTTGGAAGATCCTGGGTTCGCACCGGGACGTTCCTGCGACTATGCTTCAGTTATGTCGGAAACGCGGGGGTCAAACATCAATTCTGGACTCTTTGGAGGCATTCGAACGTAGTTCTTTTGATGAAAAGCAGGAGATAGCATTGCCAGAAAATTGCAGACCCACTTCATTGCTACAAGTTGGTTTTAAATTATCGCTTCAATGTTACATCAACGGCTGATTCGCGGTGGTGCTGAAGCCCGCACGCGCGACTCTCAGTTTGGCTTCCGCCCCCGGCGTGGGGCAGCTGACGCGCTCATGCTTGTCTGGCGCATGATCGACGCTGCACATAACACCCAGCACGGTGTCCTTATTCTTCTAATGTTGGATGGGGCCAAGGCGTTCGACAGGCTCAAAATAGAAAGCATGTACAACGTTCTGCGCCGCTTTGGGTTTCTTGCTGTTATGGTGGACATGCTCAAAGTTATTAATCCCGAGCGTTTCTTCACCATTTTCGACCGTGCCGCGAAATCAAAGAGAGGCGACAAATGGCTGGCATCACTCAAGGGTGCCTGTTCGCACCCTAATTATTTGTGGCTGTGCAGTTAGTCCTGCTTGAAGATGTTTTTGAAAATATTGGTTTGGAGGCTGAGCCGGCTCACGTAGCAACGCGAAACATTATGTACGCAGACGACACGATGTTTGCCTCGCGCAGCAAACTTAATATTCAAAGCATGCTGAACGCTATTGTATTGGAAGGGCAGAACGATGCGGCAGAGCGACTTGGTGGAGGCCCTATCAAGGTGGTCCGGGAAACAGTGTCTTTCGGTGGAACGTCCACTTGCGATGGCAAGGCGGCGCCAGAGGTTACCCGGCGCCTCGGCGAAGCGCAACACATTTCAAGCAGGTCGCACGAATCTGGCTCCCTACAGCACTCGGGGGGCGAAGAAAATGCAAAGTGTAGGACAGACGCGTCCTTGGTAACTTGTTGTATTGCCTGGACACCCTTACTGGCAATTGCAAGCTGACTGGCGCAGACCCGATGCGTTGCATTGCCGGCGTTTGAGGCGCATTTTGGGTATCCAGCTTTCTTTTGTTTCAAGAATAAGAAGTTCATACGTTCTAGACAGGGCCAGCGTCGGGTCATTTTCTCAAGGATCATTGGGCAGACACAAATATTGCACCATACAGTATCAAGCGGCCCTGTGTCGCTCGCACGTCAGATGGTCTGCCAACAGGATTGTACACCAAACGCTTGGGTGGTACATTGGCGTCGCGGCCGGCCAAGACAGCAGTGGACTTCACCGGTGTATAGAATTTGTCTGCCAGCGTAATTGATGTATGACGTGACGCAATATTTGTCATGCATTTTGATGGTCAACATGATCGTCCTCTCCCTTCTCTTGTCGTTGTCCTCCCAGCGCGCGCTTGGTGTCTCGCAGCCGCGCAACCACGCGTTCGGCGTGTCTGTCGCCCGATGCGGCGCGCATTTGGCGTGTCTGCTCCGTTGCGCCCAGGCGTCCTACTGGACTCATGGCTTCACTGACTGAGGGATTGTGGCCTCGGGAAGAGGGGCCAGTGCATGCAAGTAAGTGCCACCGGGAGGGAGGGGGGCCCTTAGATAATGAACCACGAGCCCCACCCGACAACATTTGGCATTCCAGCACGCCTCAGCGTGCCACGGTGCACGGTGGCGGATGGCCGGCCACATTGAGCTTCCGGCCACGAGCAAATTCCCCGACAGGAGCTGCGCGAAAACCAGAACCTTCTTCAGCCCAGCGAAGTCCTCAATTCGGAGTCTTGTGATTTGGCTGTGCCTAAATTGCAGAGGCGTGCGCCGCACAATTCCGTCACTCATCGGCCATGCACCACTCGCGCGGAGGACGAGTGGTCTCACCTGTTTTAGGCATGTTGCGTGGTGCTCACGTCGCCTGAAGCGTCAGCAAGCCCGCGCGGGCGCGCGGGGAGAAAACCAGCCATTCCTCCGAGCACCCTGCGGTAGGGCCAGCCCTGGAAAAGAAGCCATGTGATGGTGGACGAGAGAAGCCCCCCTGTAAGGAGATGTCTTTCCGTAAGGGAAAACCAACACAGTGATGGTGGAAAAGGAAACTAATGTGATGGCAGGGCCAGCCCTGGTGAGACGAGGTTTCCCCCCCCCTCTGCGGTATACCTCCCGAGCCATTTTTGTTCGCGGCGTGGACCCCAGGAGCTCCCGATGCCGACCCCAGGGCTAGCTTTTCCCGTCCCAGGAGTTTGTTTCGGGGGTCGCCGCTGACGGGGGTCAGCCGATCCCCTCTGGCTGGCATGGGTTTGAGAGCCACGCGGGGTCGATTGCCCCTTTCCGCTCTCTGCTGGCCCGGGTCTGGGAGGTATTGGGCGGCCGGCCAAGCTTAGTGCGTCCCCGATTCATTGCTGGGCATCGGTGCCCGGGACGGGCTTCTGGACGTCCAAGGGCTTAGAAACAAAGGCCGTCGCTGTCCAGTGGTCTGTGGCCCACACCGCCACCGAGCCTAGGTTGTGGACCGCAGGTTTCTTAAACATATTTTGTCTTGGGAGGCCACCTCGAGACCTGTCTAAAGCCTCTTGTCGCGGGAATGCCCAGGAATTCCCGGAACCTAAGAGTCTGGGCCCTTCATTGACAAACATTCGAAGAGAAAACAACCACATAAACCGAATCTATCCGCACGGATTTCTTGGAACGGCGTTGGACCCCCCCCATGGTGTTCGGAACGCGCCAAGGGCGGCGCTGGAGGCGCCGACCGGGGGGCACAGCGCCGATCGAAAAAATCTGTTCGGACCTCCAAAAGTTGATGTCGATGTAGTTTCTCTTCTGGCGGGACACAGCACAGGGACCGAGGACACTCCACAGGGACCGACACAGCACAGGGACCGAGGACACTCCACTCGGTGCAGCGGCGAATCTGCTCGTGGCCCCGAGGAGGCCTTGGCGCGCCCGACCCAGCACAGCCCGACCCCTGCACCGGCATGCCACGTCCCCTCGTCGATTGTTGCCGTCTTCGTCGCCCTCGGCGAGCCGCCGTCGTTGCCGCCGCCGCCGCCGACTCCGTCGTCGTTTTCGTCGGCGCCCTTCTTCCGCTCAGGAGCGGCCCGCCAAGGCCCCGCGCACCTGGGTCTCGCAGCCCTGCGCTCCGCAGGGCAGCGCCAAGGGCGTCGGCAAGGCGCCCGGGCCGCCGCTCGCCGCCGCCGCTCACCGCCCGGGCTGTCGGCGCCGCCGGCGTCGTCGTCGTCGCCGTGATTGAAAGACGGCGGCCGTTGTTGTTCAATCCCTCCCGGCGTTTTTCCTCTTGTTTCAGCTTCCAGGGGCCCATCTTCGGGCCCTGGTACCCTCCCAGACCTCCCCCCCCCAGGTGGGGAAGGGATCAAAGGAAAAGAGGCTCCCCATCGACTCAATTACGACTTCGATTGCGACCTGTTTCGATTCGCCTCGAGTTGACGAGCCTGGCGCGCCAAAGAGGGTGATGAGCTGGGCGCGCCCAAGAGAACGCCACAGGGTGCTCCGAAGACGACAAACCCAGAGCTCCCCCTCACACACGCCGACAGGGTCGGCGGATTTTGGCCTCAGGGGACCCATTCTCAAGCCCTGGAGCCAGCAAAAATGCGTTTAGAGAGAATTTCTCCGGGGCAGGAATTGGGACCTCTGAGACCGCGCGTTGACAAAGTTACGTCAGCGGATGCCAGGGCCTGCCGCCGCGCCCAACGTCGTCGCCTCCGCCGCCGTTGCCGGTCGCCGCCGCCGGCGTCGTCGTTGTCATCGTCGTCGTCGTCTCCCAACGGCGTGATGGTTGACCAGATCTCCTCGTGCCTTCTCCCTCCTTCGACTTATCCTCACAAGAGATTATCATCGTCCTGGTTTCGTCTTAAGGACGAGGAGGAGGAGGAGGAGGGCAGCGGGAGAGCTGCTCCAGCAGAATGAGGGAGGAGTGAGGGCCTCCCCCTTTGCAACTCCTCCTTCCCTGCCCCCTGTTCGTCCTCGCTCTTTCCTCCTCGCCTTCCATCCTCTGTACTCCTCGTGGCTCCTCCTCGTCCTCCCTCTTCCCTCATCCTTTTCCCCTTCCTTGCGCCAGCCCACGATGTGTGTTGATGTCAATGTTGGCCTCGGTGCTGCAAGCACGTCCTTCGCTTGCCCCAGCCAGACGTGCGTGGATTTCTGGCTGGCACGTCCGCCCTGGTGCCCTGGAGGTGCCGATCAAAAGCTGGCAGGCCAAGCGGCCAGCGGCCCCAGGAGCCCGAGGCTTGCTCACGACTCACGCAGAGGTCACCGTGAACCAAAGAAGCAGTCCCTCCTCGTGGGCCCTCTCAGAGGAGGAGGAGAAGGAGGAGAAGGAGGAGGAAGAGAAGGAGGAGGACGAGGAGAAGGAGGAGGAGGAGGAAGAAAAGGGGTAGGGGGAGGAGGAGGAGGAGGAGGAGGAGGAGGAGGAGCAAGGCTTTCCCGAGGCATCCTGCTCTTTTCTGAGGCCCGCCGTCGTCAGCAATTCCCTCCTTGTCGGGGCCCCCTCGGCCAACCTTATCTCGTTGAACGCCCCGGGGGGGGCCGACGCCGCCGCCCCACCTGTTTTTGGCACGTGGAGACGCTGCTAGGCTTGGTGGAGGAGGTGGAGGGCAAGTGAGCGCCGCAAAGAGACGGGGTCGTCTGCGCCGACAGTCGCGTGTCATCTGCCCGCAAAAGGCCGCGCGTAAGCGCCCTCGTTTCCATTGTAGCGTGCCGCGCTGGCGACCCGCTTAAGCTACCGCTCAAGGTCGCGGTGCATCTCGCGTAAGACCCGGTTCTCTTCGCCGCTCAATTGAAATGGTCCAAGAGGGCAAGAGTGGATCCAAGACGGCCCCAGAGGGCTTCCCCAAACCACAAAAACTGCCCAAGAGGGCCCCAAGAGGCTCCGCAAGCAGCCGCAAGGGGCACCCAGAGGTTTCGAAAACGGCGGACGAAGCCGAATTGGCTGTGGGCCTCAGAAGGCCCTCCGGGGACCCCCTGGAGGCGTCCAGGACGGCGCAAGAGGGATCCGAAAGGGCGGCCAGATGGCCCAAGATGGGACCGAGAGGCTTTCAGGGCGGCTCGAGAGGCCTTATTCCAACGTGGCTGGAGGGGCCCCCAAGAGTGCCACAAGAGGCTCCGTGAGAGTTCCAAGAGGCGCAAATGGAAGCTCGGCAATTCGGAAAACATCGAAATCGGTGTGTTTTTTGAAGGTGTCTGGTATCCTTGGGTTTTTTGGCTCAACGTGACTCGAAGAGGGTTTCGGAATGGTCCGAGACGCATGTAACCTAAGCCAATTCCTTCTGAGCATGTTCTGGGACAGGTGATCGCAGGGCGCGTGGAGCCAGCTATAGGCAATTGCAAGGTCACAGATAAAAGCCATCGACAACCCACCTGTGACCTTTCTCCCTCCTTCGCCTGTCTCGTCGTATAACTATTCTAAGTCTGATCCGATACGACCCGCTTCCGATCCGAAGCGAACCAACATGGGCTTTTGATCCCGAGCGGCCGATGAGGAGGTCAGTCTTCTCTTGTCGCGGTCGCATGGCCGATCGATGCGACCCGCTCTGCCCAAAACCTCTGCCGGCGCGATGATGTGTGTGTGTGTGTTTGTCGTGTTTGTCGTGTGCTCGTCCGGTCCCTGGGAGGCCCTGAGTTTGTACCCCAGCACTTGCTGCACGTAGCGCCCGCCAAGTGCAGCAACATTGCGGGACCCCCATTGGCACGTTCCGTAGCGCGTCCCCTAGGCATGGCCCGCGGTGCGTGCCCATGGCGCGTCCCCTGGCACGTCGCATGGCGCGTCCCTTGGGACGTTCCGCTGCGCGTCCTCCTGGCATATCCCCCTGTCGATCAGCTCTAGGGCAGCTACCATCTGCTCAGGCAGCTCGAGCTTAAGATCCAGATCAGTTCGGTCAGGACTTGGATGCAAAGAGGACTCGATCCACAACTCTATATAGAGCACAATCGCCGCATGCCACATCGCAGTTCAGCACGGTCCAGCACAGCACAGCCCTCGGCACGGCAGCATTGCAACCTGGCACGTTCCCTGACACGTTCCGTGGCGAGTCCCCATGGTACGTCGCGCGGCGCGTCCTTTGGCACGTTCCGTGGCACGTCCATTGGCATGTTCCGTAGCGCGTCCTTTTGGCACGTCCCGCGGTGCGTCCCCGTGGCACGTCCCTTGGCACGTTGTTTGGCGCGTCCCTTGGGACATTCCGCGGTGCGTCCTCCTGACATGTTCCCTTGTCAATTAGCTCTGGAGCAGCTACTATGATGTGCTCGGGCCGCTCGAGCTTAAGATCCAGGTCAGTTGTGTCAGGACTCGGATGCAAAGGAGGACTCGATCCACAACACTATAGAGCATAACCACGCCATGGCACATCGCAGTTCAGCACGACGCAGCACAGCACAGCCCTCGGCAAGGTACATCAAGATCGATACGTTCAGCATTGCAACCTGGCACTTTCCCTGGCACGTTCCGTGGCGCGTCCCGTGGCAAGTCCCCCTGGCACGTCGCGCGGCGCGTCCCTTGGCACGTCCCGTGGCACGTCCATTGGCACGTTCCCTAGCGCATCCTTTTGGCACGTCCCGCGGTGCGTCCCCGTGGCACGTCCCCTGGCACGTCGGTTTGCGCGTCCCTTGGGACGTTCCGCAGCGCGTCCTCCTGATTAACTCTGGGGCAGCTACTATGTGCTCAGGCAGCTCGAGCTCAGGATCCAGATCAGTTCGGTCAGGACTCGGATGCAACGGAGGACTCGATCCACGACGCTATAGAGCACATTCGCGGCATGGCACATCGCAATTCAGTACGGCGCAGCACAGCACAGCCCCCGGCATGGTACAGCAAGATCGATACACTCAGCATTGCATTTGCACGTCGCCCAATCAGGTGTTTTTGAAACGCTGCAATGCCTTACATGTCTATATCCCTTTCCAGGTTCGTGGGTCGATCATGTTTCCTTACCATCCATTTCGGGTGTCCAGATCCCCGTCGGCCACCCTCCGTGGTCCGAGAGACGAGCATTCGCAGACCTGCCGCTCTGAGAGTCTACGTCTCCCAGATGGCGTGGATCGCTCTCCTCGCCGATGCATCGACGACGCGGCTCGATGCCGAGACCGATTTTCGCAACGCCGGTGGCGCCGATGCGTCGCCGACGTCGCCCATGCATCGGCGATGCATCGCGATGCGGCGCGATCCTCCGACCCCATCTCCGCGGGCCCCATTCGGGCCGGACGAAAGGGGGGGATAGGGAAAGGGGGGGGGGTTACGAAATCCGCTGCATGCAGCTGGTTTCGGCCCCGCCGCCGGGCCCATTCCTCGATACATGGGTGAGCCGATTCTCAACCCCCCCCCTTTGCTATCCCCCCCTTGTCGCCCGGCCCGACCCATCCAGGAGGCCTAGAGCATACGGAGGCCTGCCGCTCTGAGAGCCCCCTGCGAGGCGCGCCCAGCCTGGGCGCGCACGGAGTCACTCAGGAGGGGAAAAAATACACAGGCACAATTAATCGTCGATCCCTAGAAAAGTATGGGAAAATATGGGAAGTGGGGGGGAAGACAAAAACCCAGAAAATATACGAAGATCTGGGGAATCCTGTTATTCGTGTGCATTTATTGGTATGATCCAGGGCCCCTTTAGTCACGTGCCCTGCGGCGGGGCACTCAAAAGTGTGCCACCAGGCGCGCTGCAGCAGCTCATTCACCTTGCAGTGCAGCGTTGCCTTCCCTGAGGTCGACGGATGAGAAAAATGGCCACCCTCCGCCCGCCGCCAGAGGCCACGGGCAAGGACGGCAAGGGCTCGCCTGCACCAGCCATACTGAACGGCGAGGGGCACGTGTTCGAGGGCGGGATCTGGACCGGGGGTGGGCTTGGGAGGAGCCAGGCCTCCCGAGTGGGTGCCGACTGGATCTGGGGACCGCAGGTCGCGCCGTACTTCGCCGATGCATTGGCGATGCGGCTGGATGTGAAGCCCGACTGTATCCACGCCGACGGCGCCGATGCATCACCGACGCATCGTTGATGCATCAGCGATGCGTTGGCGATGCGGCGCGATCCTCCATCCCTGTCTACGCAGGCCCCGTCTTGTTGGCTCCAGAGGAAGAGCCCTCCTCGGATCTGGGCGTCACCGAACAGGTCGCGGCGGCTGGATTTACAACGGCTTCGTCGTCGTTTGGCTGCCGTCTTCGGCGGCGAGCGAGGAAGGGGAAGTGAGAAACAGAAGGCCTCAGAAGGCGGCGGGGCGTTTCAGGAGCGCTATGGCCTTCTGACAAGTATTCTATGTCTTCGTGGAAGGCTTAAACAAATTCTCAGAAGGCTGGGGGACTACCGAGCCTTCTGACAAGGCCCGCTCCTTCTCACCTCCCCCCGTGCTCGCCGCCGACGTCTCCTGTCCTGGGGGCATGCAGACAGATGCTCAGGGTGAATTGCCTGCCCTGGCGAAGGGGTCGAGATCCCTGTGGGCCCACGTCACAAAAACATGCGTATGGTCGGTTTGCATTGGATTTGCACTCGCGGGGGCTTCTGGATTGCACCCTGGGGTGCACCCAGGGGGAATCGGGGAGGGGCGGGAGGCGGCATGCACGGGGAAGTGGGAAGGGGGAGAGCGGAGGCAGGAGACAGGGGGATGGAAGGGATTTTGCACCGAGCGTTCCAGTGAACTCAAAGGGGGAGGAGGACGTGGAAAAGTATGATGAGGCGCATCTCCTCCCTACCCGCAGCGCGCCTTCAGATTGAAAGCTTGGGAGGATTGGGAGGGAGGACGAACAAGAGGAGGAGGGGATAATTCCAGCCAGTAGCCGTCGTAAGGTTGAAGGGTGTTCTTGAATATTGTTAGCCGAACGAAGTGCCCCCGCTCCCCCACATCCACCCACCCACCCACACACACAGACCACCCGTTGGCCGCCCTTTCACGCCTCCCTCTTCCTCCCTCCTCGCTTGTCCTCCCCATCCTCTGGCCCAATCCCGCGGGGGCGCGGGCGTTCCAACGCGGGCGAGGGATGTGTGGGACGCCCGCGCCAAGACCATCGTGCCAATGGGACTTCGGGTTGGGGGCCCGTTATCCCCATTCGTCTTGAGCCAGGGGAGGTCAACCAACGGCAAGGGCGAGACAGCGCAAGCGCGCGCCAGAAAACGCACCGCACAGGTACTCCGTGATCTGGAAGGCAGTGGCGAAGGTCAGGATCACTAGCCAGGGTCAGTCAGTGGTTGCTCGCCTGCATGGCGAAGCAGCTCGTCGCAAACTAGTGGGGGCAGGCCATGCAGAGATAGCTGAAACCCATCGTGCGGTGGTTTGAGCTGGCAGGATGATCAAGTGGCGGTGGTGCACTGTGTGAGCCTGAGGTAACCGGATCGCTAGCACAAGGTCCCGTAGTGGCTGCTCCAGTCGCGCTTCGAAGCGCCGTGCGTCGCAAGGGTCCGCGCTGGTCGGGAGGAACTTCTGGGGGACGCCCCGCGCGCGTTGAGCTGGGACCAGAGCCCGCCCCCCAAAAAACGAATCGGGATCGTTCTCGAAGCTTTCCATGGCTGTGACGCCTGGGCTCTCTCGATGTGCAACTCGCGGGTTCGGCTGGGTGATCTGGAGTTCCAGGGGGTGTGGCGCATCCTCGTGGCGGACGGCCACGGCCCGCGCAAGACATTTCAACTCCGCCGATTCGCTCGCATCCACGGCGGCATTGCGAATCTCGCAACCGTAGGGCGTGGTTCTGAATCAGCGCGTCGCACGGGCATCTTCGGCTTTCGAGGCCACAGGGCTGTTGCAGCAGATGTCCGACGGCATGCGGGCGCCGCAGTTGCGGCACGATGGTCTCGTAAACAGGATGGCCCGCGCGCGCCGCGACGCGGGCTTGCGCGGAATCTCCGCGACGGAGTTGTTTTGCTCAGGTAGTGGCGAAGCGTCTCGGCTCGCCTATAGGCCCACCAAAGAATGCTCTAAGAACATGTCTATTGTGGTTTGAGCGAAATGTGTTTAAGACATGTCTGGGTGAGACTGTTTTGTTTAAACACATCGGGCCCATGTCTTAATACAATTGTTCCCGCCAAGGTCGCTGGCCCAGGGTTCTTTTTTTCCCGGAACGGGCGCGGGCCCCGGGTTTTTTTCGGAGGTTATCCCCGGGTCCGACTCGAGGTGGGTCGGCGAATTTCTTTCGCGATGAATAATGAGGAAAGGGTGGGCCGGCGAAGTCACATATTGAGGGCGTCCTGAACGAAACGCTTGGTTTGCAGAAATTGGCGAGGATGTCTCGAGCGAAAGGCTTGTTCCGCGTTATGGATTGCCCTCTCCTGGGGGTCTGAATTCAGAGGATCTCTCAAGTGAAATGCCTGTTAGACGCTTGGTTTCACGCGCCCAGGATGCCCAGGTATATGTCCAGCGCGAAGAGTGGTCGAGAATGTCTCGAACGAGACGCATGTCTCGAACGAGACGCATGCTTTCACGCGCCCTGGTGGCTCACGCGGATGTCTAGCATGAGAATGCGTTGAGAAAGTTTCGATCGCGACGCTCGTTCGTGTCCAGTTTGCCCAGGCTGCCAGAGCGATGGGGATAGTTTCGGGATGTTGCGAGGGCGCATGACTGCGGCCCTCTGGGCTCGAACAGAAACGCGGCTCCGCGGGGGGCGCCGCGCATAGTAGCGGAGCCCGTGGCCTGAGATCCACGGGTTCTGCGTCGGAGGTGCGAGCCCAGGAGCCCAGCGGGAAGCGCCGCGGGTCTGCGGAGGGCAGCCTAGCAGCCCGGCGGGGACCTCCGCGGGCTGCGGAGGGCAGCCGCGCAGCCTAGCTGCCCAGCGGCTCAGCCTAGCGGCCCGGCGGGAAGCGCTGCGGGCGCGCGGAGCGCAGCCCAGGCCCCTTGCCGGCCGAGGCAGGGGCCTCGGCGGGCGCGACAGCGACGGGGCGGAAGAAGCAGAAGAAGCAGCGCGGGCGACGGCGGTCGGCGGACGCCGCCTGGCGACGGCAGCGACGCGGAGACGTCTGCAGGCCGCTGGGGTCGGCGCGGAGCCTCGTCGAGAAATTCGTCGGGCCTGAGCTCGGCCTGCCAACGTTCACGCACCGCGTGTTCGGGGGCGTCGTCTTCGACCAGGAGCTGGGCCACGCGTGGCCGCTCGACGTCGTGGGCGCGGGCGGCAACTCCTTCATGCCCCACGAGAGCGAGACCTACGCGGCCTTCGTAGCGCGGAGGTTCAGGGATGGAGGAGGAGTCGCGTGCAGCAGCGGCGCAGCAGGCAGCGGGCGACCCCGCGGCCGCGGCCGCAGCTGCAGCAGAAGCCTTGCCGCAGCAGCCGGCGGCGGCCCAGCAGGTGATGGGCGCGCTGCGAACGGCGGCGGCTCGAGCGGAACTTGCAGAGCAGGGGGCCCAGGAGCTGGGAGCGCGAGCAGAGACGACAGCCAGACAGCAGAACGCCCAGCTTCAGCAGCTTCAGCAGGCGCCTCAGCAGCTGACCGCCGCGGGGGGCGCCGCGGCGGCGAGCCCAGCTCCAGCCAGGAGCGAGGGTCGTCGGAAGTGGGACATCGTCAACGCGAAGCTGTTTGAACGACCACGCGGGCGGCGTGGACCGCGCGGCCGTTCAAGCGGCCGGTACATCGCGACGCCGGACGATGAGCTGCATCAGGAGATGATCGCGGTCGGGCGGAAGGCCGAAGAAGGCGTCGCCAGCGAGACGTTGGACCTGGCGAACCCAGCGCCCAGCATCAGCTCTGGGTCGGATGAGGAAGCTGATGGGGGGGGGGGGGGGGGGGGGGGGGGGGGGGGGGGGGGGGGGGGCTTTCGGAGCGCGGCGACGATCGAGACCGACATGAACGAGTTCGACGCGGCGCATCAGACGCACGGGCGGCACGGCAGCGCGGTGCCCTGCGACGCCGCGGCGGCGATCCACATTGCGGGGGTCCAGGGCAGGGGCCTTCAGCAGTGGCTGATGGTCAACGCCGACCGCCTCGGGGACTACGACGGGGTCGCAAAGTACGCGAAGGCGTACCTGGCGAACAGGAAGACGTTCAAAGACGCTGCAAGAGGCACCGCAGTGGGGGCCACCACTGCGGACGACAGCGGACCAGCGCCGATGGGCATCGGGTCCCTGACGGCGACGTTGGCAGCGAGAGGGGTGGCGCCAACCGAGGTGACGATGGTCGCAAGCGCCATCAAGAAGGGCAAGGGGAAGGGGAAGAGCTAAGGAAAAGACGGCGGCAAGAAGGGATACGGGAAGTGCTACGACGGAAAGAGGGACTCCCGATCGCAGCGCCAGGCGCAGAAGGACAGCAAGGGCAGACACGGCAATGATGCGCAGCGCGTCGAGACACGGGCGCGCAGGAGGTGCCATCAGAAGGGCCATCTGGCGAGAGACTGCCCTGACCAGGGCGCGAGAGTGAGCGGCGCAGCCAGCGAGACGATCGAGATGAAGGTCGCGTTGAACTTTGTTCAGCTACTTACGCCTGCCACGAGCTCAACAGCCTCGAGCGCGACTTCCGCGGCGCCGAGCAGCGTCGCCCAGGCGCGGGCCAACGCCGCGCAGCTGTCAAGGGCGAGCTCGGTGGCCGCTCCGAGCGGCGACAGCGCCAGCTCGGCGGGCGTCGGGGCCCGGGGGGGGGGGGGCACCGCGTCCGTCATCCAGTGGGCGCTGCGCTTGGCGGCCCAGGCTGCGGATCCCGTGA